AGTACTGCAAAGAATAAAGAAATGAGCCCCTTGATTTAGGGTCAAAAGATTCCATGAGGCAGGACGGTATAGCAGATAGAGAGCTGAACTTGGAATCATTTGAACCACAAAACAACTCACTGAGACAAAGTTAGATAGACTGATATAGAGATATACACACACACATATACACGTATGTGTATGTATGTATGTATATGTGTGTATATATACAGAAGGAGAGAGAGATTAGTATATAACAAAACCTACCTCGGTGAGTTGCTATTTGGTTTAAATGATTGCAAGTTCAGCTCTCTATGAATGACACAGAGTGCTTTAAGTTTTATAAAGCACACGAACATACACACAAACATGTATAGATATAGATATAGATATAGATATAGATATATGAAAAATCTCATTTGAACTATGTAACAACCACTGAGGACGGTATCAGTATTATTATACACTGATATACAGATAGATAAATATATATAGGGACAAGTATTAGTATCAGTATGCATTATATATCATATATCATTATATATTACTATTAATATCTGCATATGTATATATATATATAAAATTACTGATAATACCTGCCTCAATAAGTTGCTAAATGGTTAGAATGAGATGATATATGTAAGATGCTTTACAAACTTTAAAATATTTTGTAAGTATCTGTTATTATTAAAAAGCCCAACTCTGCTATTTACTAGCTGTATTTTAACCTCCTTGACCCTCAGTTTCTTCATCTGTAAAAGGAGCAGGTTGGATTACATGATCTATAAGGTCTGTTTCAGTTGAAAATTCTATAATCATCGAAACAAAACAAAATAAAAGAAGGGAATTAAAATAAGATTTTATAACAAGTAAATTGCTTGATATTTTCAAAACAAAGAAATCTATTTCAGTTGATTATCATCTGTGTTCTGCAAAAGAGATACCCATGCATACTTTCAAAATAAAAGGTTAACCCTGTGACAGACTGTGTGGAGCAATAGCCCAAGGGCCAAACTATAACTTCCCCTTCCCTAATTTAAGTGACAAAGGAGATTAGGCCCTATCTAAAAAGCAAAATTGTGCTGTAAAATTTAATTAAACATCATGGGTCAAAAACTCAAGTTAAAGCAAAAGTAAAAATAGAAGTGGAGGAATAGCAAGAAATAATTACAAAAATAAAAGGAAGGGGAGAAACAGAAAGACTACCTTTGTAGCATTATTAACAAATTAACACAAACATACAACTTAAAAAAGAGAAAAAAGGAATTGAAAACCTGGGTATTTAGAAAAGAAACCAAAAATGAAAAGAGAAAGGGCAGCATAATATAAATGGCTTCACACATAAATCAAAGTAAGCAAGTCCCCAAAATGCCAAATGTGGGACATACAACCAAAGAAAAGAACTGACTAAAATACCCTTGTCCAGATAAAGGAGATCAAAAATATAATATGAAAATATTCAAAGTGAGAGATACTCCAACCAAATCAAGTCAGCAAGCATGTATTAAGCACCTACTATGTGCCAAGCAATATATAAAGCAATGGGGACATGAAGAAAGGCAGAAACAATCCCTAACCTCAAGGATTTAAAGAAGGATACTCCCAAAAAAAAGATGATGGGCAGAAATCAACAGGAGTGGCATGAAAGACTAAAAATGTTGTAAACGGGGAAACAAGAGTAATGTGATCAAGAAGAAAGTATAGAATAGTCAAATTCTAGCCAACTCCATACTAATGAGTCTAGATAATTAAGGTCCATATATAGCTGAAGCCAGTCAGTACTTGAGCTTCATTCCTCTTTTCTACCATATTCACAGGCTGATTTCTCCACCACTTCTGTACAGTTGATTCCCAGCACAGTAGATCAGGAACAAAACTGTAACATTTGTCTCATTTGCAAAAGCAAACACCAAGATGATATTTCTTATACACTCCAGGTATTGATGTTTAATATGATCAATAGCTATTTCTAGATCCCACTAACACAAAATTCCCCAGGATACCCTGCAGGATTAGCTTTCCTCATCCCAATTATATTCCCTATTGCCCTCCCACTCCAGGTCTCTTTAGCTCATATATATATGGGGTTTAAAGTATACAACAGGCTTTCCTGATCTCAAAGTAAGGGCAAATAGTATCTTCATTTTAAAAAGGTTATTACTATTCTTCTCAGCTATTCTTACTACTATCCTGACTGTTCATTAAGGCTGGCCTTACCACAATAGGCAATCTCCCATATAGTACGCTTCTAGGGTGACTGGGAAAGCATTCTTGCCCTCTCCCTCCTTAACATAACTCCCTAATCCCCTAAATGATATCTCAAATTCCACATTTAACATTTTAAAGACTGCTAAAAGGCCATGTATACATGGGAGGAGTGATAGGGAACCACAGTCACTTAAAGCTTAGTGTGAATGACTTCATCAGATCCTTTCCTATAAGGAGGCTAAATGGGGGAATAGTCAGAAAAAGATGGAGTCCTCTTAGATGGGGAGAAGAAAGGAACACAGAAGGGGGTACTTCTTCTAATTTAAAATTTTGCCTCCAGCCAGCCCAGTTCCTCAAGTAGAAACAATTATCTTGCTTCCCATATAGAAATAGACTACGCCATTTTTTATTGTAGATGATTGTGCATCCTCCATTATTGAGAGTAATCCAGTAGATCGTAGAAAACTATGTATAGAAAACCATGTACCAGCAAGGGCTGGTAAATAATTATATCTATACTACCCTGAACAGTCACAATTTTCAGCTCCTTCTATCACTTCATCACCTACTCTCCCCTAGTCCCTTAATACAGTGCTTCTCAAATAAAACAAAACAATTCTTTCCCATAGTACCTAAATAAGAAAGAAATGGGAATACCCCAGGATACCATAAAAAGTGGGATAGAAAATAACACTATAAAGATCAGAAAACAAAGGGAAATCTACAACAGGGTGATCAATGCCCAGTAACCTGTGATTCAAGGTAGAATATATGTCCATTGTGAATAGCTGGCACAAAAAAAAATAATTTGAATGCTCAATAGAAAGCACGTGTTGGGAAATTTTTGTTACATATGTGAAAATCTCAGCCAAGATACAGAGAAATGGAGGGTTTGTGCAGAAAGAAGACTATGCTATTTGTAATGGGTGCAATTAGCTCAGTTAGCTATGTGGCATTTACTACTTCTAGCACTCAGCACCATTTCACAGTTAAGTCAAAATTCCCATGTCTATTGGAAATGTTTTCTTGTGCTAGCATTGTACAGTGGAAGGAAAAGTGGGCCTGGATTTGAATGCCTGCTATACTACTTACTACCCATGTGACCTTAGATATGTCACTTAACTTAAACTCAGTGGAGTTTTTTGATCTCTACAATGAGGCAGTTAAAATTGATAATGTCAAAGGCCCCTTACAGCTCCAGCCTATGAAGACATTTGACTACTATACTATAATGCAATGTTGAAAAGAGAGAGACAAGCAAAATTTTTGGTTGAACACAAGATTGACTCTGAAAAGGTTAAAGAGGACTATATTAAGAGGGCAAAGGTCAAAGCAAGATGAGTGGCAAAGAACTCTCCAAAAAAAATTGTACTACTTACTTGAAAAACAAAGTATAAATATATTATGTTTTGAAGTAGTCATTTCTTAAGAAGCAAAGTTTGAAAGTATGAATGTGACAGCCTAACGCTGTATACAACCACAAATCTTTGTAAAAACATTTAATAAATGCACTAAGCAAGAGGTAGTCGTTATCCTATGACCTTCATTTCAAATTTCAAGCCATTTCTTACGCTGACAAAGGCCTATTTTTAAATGGGAGAAACAAAGGTCCTTGAAAAACTGCCACGGTAAAATTCCCATAATGAAATTATGTTCATTCTCAGAGGAATGAGGTGGAATTAGATGCTCCAGCGTGCTGAATTCCTAAATCTGGGTAGCTTCCAGCTAGCTACTGAAGGTTTCCTGTGTCAAATGGGGTTGGGGGCGAACCATCTGCTATAAACAAATTAAGAATGAGCTTTTTAATTCATAGTTCTTGACCACAAAATTTCTAGAAACATTGATGTTAAACACTATTTAAATAATACTTCATTTTTAAGATAAGGAATAGGGTTGAGAATAGTATTAAAATTGTAGTAGGCAGGAAAAGTATCCACCCAAAATCTTTGCCCATGCCCTTCTCATAGAATGTCAACAGAGAAAGCATTTTCATTGACTATTCAAATGTAAAAGTTTCCTAATTCCCAAAAGTATGCTTTAAAAAAAAAAAACAAAACATTAATCACTTCTACACTGGAAGAAAAGAAGTGTTACTCATCCATGTCCCAGTAGCCACCTAGCACAGCGTCAGGTACAGAGCTCAATAAATATTTGTTCAAGATAAGCATCAACAAATGCAAAGATTCTTGCTAAGAGGCAGCATCTTGAGCCCAAAACACTAGATGCTGAATAACTTGGAATAGATCAACCCTCAGAGTCTGTCAAGGAAGAGCAAGAACATCAAGCGACTCTTGTACCACAATGGCTGAGCGCTACTTATAGAAGTATTTTCTTTCTTTCTTTTTTTTTCACCCGAGACATCCAGCACTCAGGCTATTAGATTATCTGAGGAGCAGTTTGCCCACTCCATATTTCCCCCCCACACACACAATCAGCTCACCTTCCACCGCTGCCCATTTATTTGTTTTCTTGACTGACTTGGAAGATTATGCATAAGATATGACTGTCCCCTGGATCTAACCCTTCACCTTTGAACCAAGAGACCCACAAGCAATACCTATGTACCCAGTCTTTCTAAATTTCTTTGAGTGTGGGGGAGGGAGAGGATGGGGTGAGGAGTGAGTTCAAAACCAAAGGATCAGACGAAGGTTCCTTTTAACCTCTTTCCACTATTCTAACCCCAAGGGTAAGGAAATGCTTTGTTCCACCACACGCGCTGGAGAGGAACTGCCCTGTGTCCGAGAAATCAGAGGCAAGGGAAGGAAAATCATGGTATGGGGAAGAAAAAAGGGTCCGAAAGAGAGTGACCGTACCTGGTGCGGCTGTGGTTTCGAGGACAGTCCTTCTTCTCCATGATGGCCGGCACACAGTTGGTGAGCTCTGTCCAGTCGGCGTGCAGCCCACAGCTCCAGCCCGTGGAGAAGCGCGAGAAGAGCCACGTCTCCTTTTTGCCCGGTCTGTGGCAGGTGCATTTTTTCTGGCCAGGCTTGCAGCTGCAGGGCTGTTCCAGCCGGATATTCTTCACTAGGTGCCGCCCGAAGGTAGTGCCCCCAGTCTTCTGGATGTGCAAGAAGACGATCACGTCCCGTCCTTTGATGTTGAAATCCACGAAACGAGTCAGGTCCTTAACCGAGAAGTTGAAGCGAGGCACAAATTTGGGCAAAGAGCCATTGTCCGGGGATTCTCTGTCCTGCTCTTCCTCCTCCTCTTCCAACTCCTCGAATTCTTCCTCTGTCTCCTGCGCTGGCCCGGCCAGCTGTGCCGCCGGTGCCCCCGGAATCTCGGCTCCCTGGTCCCGGAGCGGTGGTTGCTGCTGGTCCTCTCGGGGACCCGCTGGGGCGGCTGCAACCTGACCCGACTCCCCAGCGTGGAACTTGTCCCCAAAGTTGGTACAGGAACTGGTGCAGGTGGGGGACACGTACTGGTACATGATGATCAAGAACAGGAGCGTGAGCACCGGCGTGAGCAGCCACTTGTTGAACCTCTCATCCATGGTCCTGCTCTCAGGCCAGAAGGCGAAGTGGCGGCGGTGGGGGGGGCGGCGGCAGCTGCTCCACTGAAAGCCCGCGCTGAAGTTTGGACTCCGGGCTGCGGCTCGGAGCCCGCCGCACCTCCATCCCCCTGTGGCCAGGCAGGCGGGACCCCCCCCCGCAAAGGCGTCTGGCTGGCTGGCTGCACTTTGGTGCTCCGGTGGCTCGCTGCTGTTGGCTCCCGAGGGGTTAAGGGGAGGTGGAGAAGCGAACCTGGGTCCCCTAGCCCACCGCTGCTGCGGAGAAGAAAAAGGAGGAGGAGGGCGACGGTGAGGTGCCAGTTCCTGGCACTAAGGGGCGGCGGCTGCGCGAAGATTGTTTCAGAGCTCAAAAGGGACTCTCCCTCTACTCTCCGCCTGGACCCCCAGGGCCGTTAGTCCTGCTCCTAGCCAGAGAGGGAGAGAGCTATCAAGTGTCTCTCAGACCAGAAATGCGCCTCAGGGAGCCAGCCTGCCGCGGGCTCTTAAGCACTTACTAGCTGATCTTGGGTCCTGAACCTGCCCCTCTGGTAGCTGAAAACCAGTGCTTGGACCCACACCCAGAAGCTTCATCTTCTTCAGGAGCGAGCCTGGATACCAGGAAACAGGAGGAGGAGCTTCGGCCCCTGGCCCCTCACACCGCCCAGCCCGCCCTAGCCTCTGATGTACCCACCACCACCACCCAGGCACCCTTCCTCTCTGGGAGCCTTGGGGCAAGGAGAGCCCCGAGCTGCGTGCTGGCTGGCTTTCAGCCGCCAGCCCCCGCTGCAAGTTTGCAGATGAGCCCTTGCAGGGGGAGGAGAGAGAGAAAGGAGCCTCAGGCGAGTCAGCGCACCGCCTCTTCGGAGAAGTCCCACTGCTGCTTCAGGTCTGTCAGCTAGACACACAGGCGCGAGCGCGCGCGCGCTCGCGAAAGACTGGCACCACCGCTACCCACCAGCCGGTGTGACAAGGAGTCCTCCTACCCGCAGCAAAAACCTGCCCAAGGTACGGAGCATGCGCCAAACCATTGCCTGGCCCTGGAGGAGTTTCCAGGGGAGGAGTCCAAGTCTCTGTTGGTTTTTAGCCGCTCCTGGAGTGTAGGGTATAAGGGGAGATGAGAATTCTGTCACCTGGACACTGAAAACGGGTGTGAAGATTAAGGAGGTAAACTGGCGTGGAATCTTGCGCAAGTATTACGAACATTAATTTGAGACGTCTTAAATACGTAGCTTCTTACTGCTGTGAGCACAGACACAAAACTGACTAGTTTTATTAGAATAGGACACCTAAGCATCCACCAGCATGAATTGTTTGCAGTAGACTCCCAGTGGAGGAGACCCTGCACTATCAGTCCAGGTGTTGGCTGGCCTCTTCTCCGCAATGGAAACTTACCAGAGACTATTTTTTTTCTTTTCATCTCTAGAGTTTGGCTACCTGCCCATAAAGAAAATCTGACTTTGATGTTAAAATTTTAATCTGTTTTCCACAAACTACAACCTGTCTTTTACACTTTGGTATATCCAGCACTTACAGTCCGATAGTATCTTAGAAGCCTTGGGACTGGAAAGGATATCATTTATTCAATTAAAAACATTTTTCCTCAGTATGTACTATATGCAGAGGTACTGTGCTATGAGTTGTAAGGGATAAATACTATACAAGACACATTCTTGTCTTCAAGGAACTTACATTCTAGTTTCAAATTTATTTTAGCATTAAAATTCTGTTAGTACTAACATGTTGTTGAAGTTCTATTTTTTTAAAAAATCTTAGAAAACAGTTAAGGATAAATATTTAACTTTTATTTTCACTTAAGCTCTGACTTCATTCATTCTTTTTTTTTTTTTTTTATCAAGTCTTTGTATTCCAAGAAACCAGGTGCAATGGAAAGAGTACTGCATTTAGAGTCTGTGGACCTGGGTTCCACTCTAAGCTCTACCACTTACTAGGCTCTGTCATTTTGGGCAAGTCAGTTAATTAACCTAGTTCATAGTTTACTCATCTGAGGAATGATGTGATTTCAGGAGGTACCATCTAAGTTTTCTTACAAATTGGTTATATCCTAATTTGTACAATAGTATGTATCTTATCACTCATGTTCCAGACCAGGGGCCCTGTCTTATGAATCTTTATCTCTCCTGAGTCTAGCACAAGGGATTTATTGTACAAAGCACACAATTAATGAATGCTTATGTAGTTAAACATTTACTATGTCACACATCACCAAAATTGGACAAAATATACTATCATTGAACTGGAGTCCCTAATCCTCTGCATTCACACTCCTTATTCTGACTTTGAAGTCTAAATAGAGCATGGTTTTTAATGTCCCGAGGAATGAGAGGAGTCTCCTTTTTCATGTACTCCCATTCAGCCAGCCTAGCATCCACATGCAACCTCACACCATCATAAGAAGTTAGCCTGACATTTTTTTAAGATCCAGGAGATGCCACAGCACAAGCTGCCTTTATAATCCTCACATATCCCTGGATTGCTGTATTTATCTCCATGCCTTTATTTTTTCATATTAATGCGTCTTTCATAATTATTTAATAATATGTGTCTTTTAGTCCTGTGGCAGGAGTAGAACTGTTTCAGGGTATGCATAAATTAAGCTTTCATTGAAATTAAGTTTATTCATTTTCCTAGTTGTGTGTGATCTGTCACATAAAAGTTCTGTTGCTCTATTTTCCCTCCTGTATCTTCAACTATATGGACACTGATAAAACTGCCCAAGATTCTGAACCAATATTAGCAGCAAAGGTGTTTGGTAAAATGAATTAACTCCTAATAACTTGTTTACTTCCAAATTTTTTTCTCATTTATCTATAAAATCCTATTAATCCTAGTATTCGCCAAAGCAAGAAACTCACATAACAAAAACTCAGTGGAACACAATAGCATTTCCTAAGTAAATATTGTTGACCGTGTCTTTGCTTCAGTCAGATAAAAATATAGCAAACTTCTATGTGACTTGATTGAAAAATTGTATCATTTTATACCACAGTCGGTAAAAAAAAAAGATAATTAAGACCATAGAAACCCATTTAGCATATAAAAATGCAAAATTCAGAATGGAGAAATTGTGTTTTTAATGTTGTCTTTGGTTTTAGTAATAATATAGAGAGCACAAAACTTTTCCAAATCTTTGGATTATCTTCTCACAATTAACTTGGGACATAGAAATGGCAAGTATTGAAGGAATCATAAAACTTTAGAGTCCAAAGGGTCCTCTTTATTTAACAGAAGAAAATGGGGCCCAAAGACTTCCCTAGTTCATAAGGGAATTACTAGCATATCTAAATCAGGCTGCCTGATTCCTAAACTGGTGTTCTTCCCACTACATCACACTAGCTCACCCCTTAAGGGTCACATTGTAGAGTTAAGGAATCAAATACAATGAAATTTGATGGTTTGCATGGGATCATATATTGAGGTAGGTGTAGATCCAAGCCTGGAAGCCACACCAATATACTGCTCTATGTTAATACCTTAAAACAAATTTGACCCCTTCTTCTAAAAAATTCAGTATTCACTTAGCAAGGAGCAACAGAACTCCTTACCTCCTGACCTCTCAACTGTAGCCATTTGAGTCAAAAGACATAAAGAGACAAAGAAGCAGTACAACTTTAAAATAGCCCCTTTTTGCCTTGGTGGTTCAGCCAATGGACTGACAAAGATAAGGAGGCAATCAGGTTCTAATGTATTTATTGTTGTTGATTATCCCTGCAAATAAAGAAAAGCTAATATTAATTAGTAGTATTAATCCTAAGGGGTAAATCCCTTGGAATTTATAATAGTTAATAATAATATTAACACTAATAATAATATTTAATAATACTATAATGATACTATCACCACTACTAAAATTAGCACTAATAATACTACAATACAGTTGCTAATAATATTATTGTTAATGTTATAATAACAATACTACTATTAACTAATAATAATACTAGCTAACTAACATTAATTCATTTTCAAAAGGCAAATGCAATATTAGTTAAGATATGAGATTTGGGGGATAGGCGGGTAGAAAAAAACTTGACTAGGCCAAATTTAACAACAATATAATAAATATAACAATAAATGCCTCCCAAAATGTTACGGCATTGGCAAATTAAAATGATGCTTTGTCTGCATTTGACCTTGCTTTCATCAGTATGACAATTCAGTGGAATTATACTGGACTAGGGCAGGTCTGGACAATCAAAAGAAAGCATAAAATTAAAGAAATTACAGGCTTAATTTAGGTAATTACCCAAGTGATTAGTTATTTTTTTTCCCTTTACTTAAATTGCTAAGACAATCATTCACAGTTGTGGTCTTTCTCTCATAGCTGTGGAATGGCCTCTGAACTCTGATCAGAGTTCTAATATCATTGTAATAAACAGACTCCCTCCCTTGCAGGACCAAATTCCAAGTTCAGGTAAAAGCAATATAAACCTTCTAAAATTGAATCTTGTCCAGGTAGAAAGGAAAAGAATGTGTGCCTGTATCCTATGATGGTTGCTCCACGATGACACCAGCTGGCAAATGCTTCTGGCTAACAGATTGCAGCTCCTGCTACTGTGATTCCTACATAAATTATTAAAATAATAAAAATAATATTTTCAGTGTGTTTTCCTCCACTTCCTTTGCCAGTCTAGCAATAAGCCTAACACTATCTGTGAAACAATTTGTTCACTTTATTTTTATGCCTTAATAAAATGTACTGCAATTATTTCTTTTCCTGCTTCATCCTCCCTTTTTCCTTTCTGTTGGATCTACTATTTCACTGCTTGATTTTTATTTCTTTCACTTGGTCCTAATTCTGTCAGGTAAATTGTTACCTACCAAGAATCAAAATGTTGGCCAGAACAGTCCCCATTTAATCAAATTGAAATGGGAGACTCCATTTCAACTTCTCTTGTAGGATAAACAGTTATTGTGCTATAAAAGGAAGTGTCTGGAGAGATAGAGATAGACAAATTGAGCAAACTATGGAGAAAGATTTTGGTCAC